TTTTCCTATTCCCCCACCACTATATGTCAGTCCTGCTTTCTAACAGTGGTATTATATAGTATTTGTCCTTTTTTGACTGAGATATTTCACATAACATAATGTCCTCCAGGGTCACTTAAGGTGTGTAATGCTCTATGAGTTCATTGTTTTTTAGTGCTGCATGGCATTTTTTTTTTTATGTGAATATACCATAATTTTTCTGTCCATTTGTTGAAGAGCACTTGGGTTTCTTCCATCTCTTTGTTATTGTGATTAACACAGCAGTAAACATGGGTGTGCATATATCTGATTGGATGGTGGTTCTGATTTTTTTAGGGTATATTCCAAGTTGTGGCAGTGCTGGGTCAAATGGTATTTCTATTTCCAACTTTTTGAGAAAGCGTCAAATCACCTTCCATAGTGGTTGCACCATTTTACTATCCTGCCAGCAGTGAATAAGGGTTCCATTATCTACACAATCTTGCCAGCAATTGTTGTCTTTTGAACTTTGCTATTATTGCTGGGGTGAGGTGATATCTCATATTTGTTTTTATTTGCATCTCTCTGACAGCTAGGGATTTTGACATACCTGATAAAGGACTCATATCTAAAATTTCTAGACTCTTTCAGCACCTCATCAAGAAAACATTAAACAGTCCAGTTACAAAATGGAGACAGGGTATGAATAGACACTTGAACAAAGAAGACGTTCAGATGGCAAACACATGAAGAAATATCCAAGATCCCTAGCTTCCCCCCCCCTTTATGCTTATTACTCACATATTTCCTTTTACCACCCCCCCTTTTTTTTTAACTTTTACACTGGTTTACATACAAAGTTCCTAAATTTCATATACCTTGTTTTTAACACTGAATCTTTCCCTTTTCTTTTACCAACCCCACCCTCTACCCATCAAATTGTGTGATCCTATGATTAAGCCTTCCCACCCTCCTTGGATCCTTGTACTCATTCTACAATAATTGTCTTATACAGTATTAGTCTTTATGAGACTGAGTTAGTTCACTTAGCATAATGCTCTCCAGTCCCTCCCATGTTAGGTAATAATTTACACACCATAAACAAAAAAAATCAACTTAACGTGGATCAGAGACCTTGGCATAAAGTCCCATGCCATAAAGCTCATAGGAGACAAACTGGGACCAAGCTTAGAAGGCCTAATCTACAGTACAAAGGGACTGTCAGATACAGCCAGAAATGTACAATCTGAAGTGAGTAAAATTGATAGATGGGACCTTCTAAAGATTAAATCACTGTGCTCATCAAAAAATTTTTCCACCAGGGTAAAAACAAAACTTACTGACTGAAAACAAATATTTGGTAATACCATCTGAGACAAGGTCTCATTGTTAAAGTTTACAGAGTCCTACCGGGCCTCCAGAAGAAAAAGACTGAGAACACAATTACAAAATGGGAAAAAGACATGGAAAGACTTTTCCCAGAGGAGGACATTTCACTGGCAATAAGAGAGATGCAAATCAAAACCACACTGACATACCATCTTACTTAACCCCAGTAGCAGTGGCAAAGTTTAGCAGGCAGCAAGTAATAAATGTTGGAAAGGATGTGGCAAGATGGGAATTCTTATACATTGTTGGTGGAATTATAAAATGGTGCAACTACTCTGGAAGGCAGTTTGGTGTTCCCTGAATAAGCTGAATGTAGAAGTTCCATGACTCAGCTACTTCACTGCTTGGAATATACCCTGAGAAAATGAAAGCTGAGACTTCCTCCCCACCTCACCCTTAATGGCTAATGATTGCTAGTCATGTGGTACCTAACTGAAATTCCTCTTTGGTGAAGTTTCTGTTATGTCCCCCTCCCCCCCTTTTTTTTCTTTTCATTTTTTAATGGTTTTATTTGTCTTTTTGGTGTTGAGTTCTCTATGAATTTTGTTGTTGTTGGAGAAAGTACTGGATGTCCCATTGACTGCCAAAAGGACAAACAAGTAGGTCTTGGAGAAGGTGCAGCCAAGTGCTCTTTAGAAGCAAAGATAGTGAAACACCATCTCACTTTCTGTGGAAAATTTGTTAGGAGAGGCCAGTCCTTGGAAAAAGATTTCATCCTGGGAAAGGTAGAGAGAGAAAGAGAGGAAGACTTTCAACCAGATTAATTGACACAGTGGCTGTAACAGTGAGCAGGAGTATATCAGAGATGATGATGATGGCGCAGGATAGAGCAGGCCAGGTTCATATCCAATGTTTGGGCCATTGGAGTCATAGTCAACTTGATGGCACTTAACAACAGTCCTGTATTTTAACAAGTAAGCTCTTGTTAAATATGTATTCCTTCAACCTGCAGACCGTAGGTTTTTCCGTTTGTGAACAAATCTTTTGATGAGCCGAAGTATTTGATTTTAGGTGGTCCCAGTTATCTGGTGCCTCTACCATTGTTTGTGTGCTTCTAGTTGTGATTGATGGTATATTTGTGCCAAAAATTAAGACCCCAGTTTTAACCCTGTATTATCTTGCAGAAACTTTTTCATTTTAGTTTTACCATTCAAGATTTAAATTCATTTTATAGTTCATTTACACTTGTGATTTGAGGTATGGATCATGTTTCGTTTTCTGCAAATGGATACTCATTTTTGCCAGAAAATTATAAAATATGTAAATAAAGGTATATAAATGTAAAAATATGTATAGAAACCCTGGTGGTGTAGTCTATAGTATTTTAGTACTCACCAAAAGTATGTAAAAAATTTTTATAGATAGGACAGATTTTTTAAGTGAAATTTTTTTTTTGTGCATGTACCGTCAAATCAGATTTGACTGTACAGGAGGAAATTGTCCCTCCTTCTCCGGCAGAGCATCTGGTGGATTCAAACCGTATACCTTTGGGATTGTAGTACAGCTTCTTGCCAAAAAAAATTAAAAATTTTGAAGTTGTTGTTGTTGTTGTTATGTGCTGTCGAGTCGCTTGCGACTCATGGCGACCCTATGTACAACAGCCCTAAACTCTGCTCTGTCCTGTGCCAATCGCACTATCTCTGACACTCCCATCCTGATTATCCCAGTCACTGAATCAATCCACCTCATAGAGGGCCTTCCCCTCCTGCGCCGTCCCTCCACCCTCCCAAGCATGATGTCCTTCTCCAAGGACCGGTCTCTCCTCACAACATGTCCAAAGTATGTTAGACGGAGCCTCAGAATCCTTGCCTCCAAGGAGCCACCCGGTTTAACCCTTTCCAGAACAAATCTGTTTGTTTTCCAGCAGTCCATGGTATTCTCAATACTCTTCTCCAGCACCACAGCTCAAAGGCATCAATTCTCCTTCTATCCTCCTTGGTCATTGTCCAACTCTCTGATGCATAACAAGTGATTGCAAAGACCATGGCCTATATCAGATGCACCTTAGTCTCCAGAGAGACACCATTGCTCTTCAGTACTTTGGAGAGGTCCCTAACAACAGACTTTCCCATGGCAATACGCCTTTTAATTTCCTGGCTGCTGGTGCCAAGACTGTTGACTGTGGAGCCAAGCAAACTAAAGCTGTGTACAATCTCAATCTCTTCACCATCCATCCTGATGCTGCCTATTGGTCCAGTGGTGAGAATCTTTGCCTTCTTGACATTGAGCCTCAATCCATATTGGAGGCTGCAGTCCTTGACCCTCTGCAGCTGGTGCTTCAGGTCCTGTACATAGGGTTTTCAGAGGCCTGCTATTTCAGAAGTGGATGGCCAATCCTTCTTCCTAGTCTGTCTTAATGAGAATGTTCAGATTTAGAGAAGTATCAGACAGACCAGCAAGTTAAAGGTATATCCCTTATTGTGGAGTTAACTTTAGTGTCAGTGTTGTTCCTGTCTTTCTCACACGCATCTTTACCCACTTATTTCCCTGCTACACCATACACGAGGATACCCATCCACTTCTACCCCCTCCCTTCACATCTATCTCCCTTTGACCAGCCCTCCATCTAATAACTTATATATGAAGCTTCCTTGGCTTCTGTGATTCCCAACACATCAGCTGTTGGTAGTTCCTTATGTTGGGACCAATGTCTCTGAAGTTTACTCGTAATGTTTCCTGAGCAAAGGTGATAATAAAGGTGTTTGCACTGATCTATGAGGGGAAATAGCTAAGTGAATTATTTCTAGAGGATGTGACAAGTACTGTAATCTTACACAGGGGAAAACTCCTAATTCTCAGCATAAATCAATCACAGGCCACCAGAAGGTGAGAGAATGGTGGATGCAAGATGAAGGTGATAAAATTGATTAATGTAATAATCTCATTGTTCTTACTCATTTATGCAAGGAAATCAATCAGATTGAGTTTCAACTCCGTAGAAGAGAAAATAAGCTAGCAGTGGTGGTTCTACTGTGTTGTCAAGTTGAAACCAACTCATGGTTGACCCTTGATTGAATTTTTAGAAGCTGTAAATAACATGGGTGTAGATAGCCATCTTTCTCCTGAGGAGCAGCTAGTGGATTCAAACCACTTGTCTTTGGTTTGATAGAACAACTTCTTACCCACTAGTCGACCAGAGATTCATACAAGTTGACAATAAGGACAGTAATACTTGTTATCGTGTACTGTCAAGTTGGAACTGACCCATAGCTGACCCTCCAGTGGGTTTTCAGTAGTAGTAGTAAATCACACAGGAAGAGATTGCCCATCCTTCTCCCTTGGAGCAGCTGGTGCATTTGAACTGTGTGCCTTTAAAGGGGGCAGCACAACCTCTTGCCATGAGAAGCTTTAAAATTAAGACCCTAGTCTCATTGGGAGTCCTTGATGGGCACATGATCAATTGCTAACTTTTTTTTTCTTCCTTTGTTGTGTACTGTCGAATCTAATTCAACAGACACAGGAGGAGATTGCTCCTCCTTCTCCAGCAGAGCATCTGGTGGATTCAAACTGTGCACCTTTGGGATTACAGTGCAGCTTCTTGCCACTAGGCCACCAGTGTTCCCCAGGCTAGCTAACTTTTTCAGAAGTATTACTTGGTCTAACTTAACTTTGATACATGATCTCTTTAATTTTTTGTTTTTATTTTCCCTTAGGACTGGAGAGAGTTCATACAGAGCATGTTTCTCTTTTCATTCCTCTTACAGTGAGGTAAGTGGACTGGTGCACTCACGGCCTTCTCCTGACTCTTTACAGCCTCAAAGCACACTGAAAGCAATGCTGTGACTCCCAGACTGAGCCCTTGTGCTCAGGATCTAGTGTAGCTTGTCCTTTAGAAATGCCTCAGTGGACAAGATCTGCTTTCAGCCCTAAGGAAATGGCAGTTGCCTTTTCACTTTCAGCCTAAATACTGAAGAACATGTGTGATTAAGGTTCTCTTTTCATTTTGCTTCCTGAAAGTATATTTTAAACTTCTGCCTCTTTAGTTGTTCTGTTATCTATCATAAAAGACATAATTTTTTGTTTAAGGCATGCTATAGGGAAAAAAACCCTCTCAAGCCCTCATTAGAGATGACTTTAAAGTATTGTTCAGATTCTTGACGTCTTCCAGAATTTGCATGAAACCACCCTTTACAAAACATTCAGCTGTGGGGAATAACAAGGATGAGTAAGATAAGGCCTTACCCTCTATAATAGTCTATAGTGTGTTGATCGAGGACTAATGTTGTTGTTTTTATGTGCTGTCAAGTTGGGACCTAGTCGTGGATGACACTTCAGCAGGTTTTCAGAGCCTTTAAATCACACAGGAGAAAGACTGCCCATCTTTCTCCCTTGGAGCTGTTGACAGATTTGAACCTCTTACCTTTGGGTTGCCAGTGAAAGGACTGATAGACCATGTGAAATTCAGCCTCCATGACTTCCAGACCAGAAGGACTGGATTGTGCCCAGTTACCACTGCTAATTTCTCTGAAGGATCACTACTAGAGGGTCCTGGACAGAGCATGAGAAAAACACAGAACAAGTTTCAAAATAATAAAAATGACCAGGCTTGCTAGTGTAATAGAGACTGTGGCTCTTAGCAACCCTTTAAACCTGGAACAAAACTCCCTCCTGTGCTCAGCATTCAGTCACACAGTAGAGAGGCTTACAAGGTGAACATTAACACCAAAGAAGTATTTTCTCCTTAAAACGATCAGTCATACAAAATCAACACATACTGTTTACTCAAGGGGAAAACTCAGTAAGCGTAAAAAGGTAGACTAGAAAAAGGATTGGAACCAGGAATCACAAGGAAGAAGTACAAAGAATGCTGTTACAATGTGGGGGCTGAGGGAACTCTGGTGGCCTAGTGGCAAGACACTGCACTGCAATCCCAGAGGTACGCGGTTCAAATCCACCAGATGCTCTGCTGGAGAAGGAGGGGGCAATCTCCTCCTGTAACAGTCAGATCTGATTTGACGGTACCTGTAAAAATAATACAATAAAAACCCAAAATTAAAAAAAAAAAAACAAACACAAAACAACATGGGGGCTGTAATTAGTGACAAAACAAAACTTTATGAATGCTTGAATAGCAAACTAATCTATACATTTTTCATTCAAAGCAATAATAAAAAGGTGTTTTTTTTTAAAAAAAAACTGTGTAATTTGATGGAATTACTTAAGAGGGTTTAGAAATGTTTTGGTTTTTGCAACGACATTTTTATATAAGAAATTTACCTGTACATAAGTACAAGTGTAGTTGTCAGGAAGAACCCTGGTGGTGCCATGGTTAAAATGCTCAGCTGCTAACCCACCATCCACTGTATGGGAAAAAGATGTGCTGTAAGGAGTTAAAGCCTCGGAAATACTATCGGGTGGTTGTAGTCACTCCTGTAGGGTCAGTATGAGTAGGAATCAACTTGACAGTGAGCTTGGTTTTTGGCTTTTGGAGAATGGAAAATTGGGGTGTGTGTGTGTGTGTGTGTGTGTGTGTGTGTGTGTGTGTGTGTGTGTGTGTGTGTGTATTATAGATACACAGTTCTCATGCATTTTCAACATACATGTTGTTGTTAGGTTTCATCAAGTCGCCTACGACCCATAGTGATTCTATGTACAGCATCTCACTGATTCCGACACAGCAACCTGCATCTCCCCAGTTACTGTATCCATCTATCTCATCTGGTCTTCCTCTCCTGTGCTGTCCCTCCACCCTTCAAAGCATGATTTCCTTCTCCAAGGACTGGTCCCTCCTGGCCATGTGCCCAAAGTATGTGAGACAGAGTTTTAAAAACTTAGCCTCCAAGGAGAGACTTGGTTTCACCCTCTCTGAGACGGATCTATTTGTTTTCTTGGGGGTCCGTGGTATGTTCAAGACTCTTCTCCAACACCACCACTCAAAAGCATCTATTCTTCTGTCATCTTTAGTCATTGTCCAGTTCTCTGATGCATATAATTGCGAAGACCATTGCCTGGATTAGGCACACCTTAGTGAACACACACAGATTCAATACTTAATGTATCAAAAAAAGACAACATATAACGAGGCTGGCTTTGAACTTTCTACATCATAGAATTTTTGTTTGGCTCTTTCTACGCTTACAAAGTCCATTCCCCTGACAACCATTATCTTTCTATTTGGGGCTCATGGATTTGACACTTAAGCAGTGAGCTATTGATGTATTAGTGATTTGAACAGGGAGATTTTCCCCCCTAGAAGTTTGAGGTAGCAGCGTTCTGATCAAGTCAGGAATATTTTAAATGCTGATATTATCAAGTGTCACAATAACATCACTCCTCAGTAACTGAATCTCACTTTCATGAACAAATATGTTTTTGGAGAACAGCTCTTAAAGCATCTCATTTTGGTTGTATACTTGTGATATTTTCTTTAAACAATTTTTCCAGAATCTTAAGTTGGTATCAAAAGCTTTTCGTGGTGAATTGTCCTTGACTTGGCAGCTGACGCGGCATCAGTACCACTTGCTTCTTATCTCTTAGTGTTTGAATGTAGCTTCACCGACAGTTTCTCTATTTGGCATTCTGAGCTTTGCCGAAGATCAAGGCACTCAGGAAATGTTTGCATGTAATTGTCCTCACTTGGATTACACTTAATCATTAGAGGAAAGAAAGAGCTTTTTTCATGTGTGCACTTTAGTTAATAAAGACTCAGGTGCATTCTAAATCACTTAAAAGGGAAATCATTATGTATCAGTTGTGTGAGCTTCTTGAACAAGAAACTAACATTACATAAGAGAATAATAGTCACCCAGAAGTTTTGAATCCTATTTTACAGTGATTCTTTTGCCCTTCACTTTGCAACAGAATCACCTAGGGGACATTGAAATATATCAAGTCATGGGCCCACTCTTGTTCAGTTTTCCAAGGATCTTTGTGGGGGTGCGACCTTGGCATTTTTTTAAGGGTTCCCAAGTGATTCCCATGTACAGTCAGCATTGAGCCCCACCTTCTAAGAGATTTCTGCAGCTCTTTGTATTGCCTCCCTTTATGTTTCTCTAATACCCACCTTTTTACCACAGAGATCATTGACCTATTTTATTTTGCTGCTTCTAGGTTAAAGATTTCTTGAGCTACATCTGCCCTGTGAATGCATACCCAAACGTCATTCCCATGGGTGCAACTGTGGATAAAGTTATAGAAATGTGAGTACTTCACATTACTGCTTGGGGGACTTTGTCTTCCTTTTTGTGGCTCGTGGCTAGGAGATGAGAGACCATTGTGCCCAAATGTTTACAGGTATAGAACCTGTTTCTGTTTTGATGGTTTTGAACTTGCATCCATAGACACAGAATGTTGGTTTTTTTTTCCCCGTTGTTAGGTGCGCTTGAGTTGACTATGAATCATAGTGACCCTGTGAACACCACATTGGAACCTTGCCCTGTGCTTTGCCATTCTGACAAAGAGTAGTGGAGTATTCTTTCAGAAAGGAAAGGTTACAGACCAGATAGTGACTGGAGGGAGCAGAGTTTAGAGACATGATTTAAAAATGGCTGAGATTTAAATGTGTATTATGGAACTAAATTTGAATATACATTGAATGTGTGTTTGAATTAGGGTGCTTATTAAAATAGTAATCCCCAATCTTGCATTTTTTTATTCTGACAGTTCTGTCTTAGGTTTAGAAGGGAGAAAGAGGAAGGTTGAAATAACTGCAGAGGGAGGGGGAGGATGGGTGAGTCCTGAGAACCCAGGCAGGATGTGAAGTCGGTATGATGATGCATAAGCTCTAGCTTGGGACCTTGATGGCTTTCTGCAAGTGGATGGTATATATAACCCTAAAGACTTCTGAGCAAAGTCCCTGAGTGTTTCCAACAGTTAAATGCTCAACTGCTAACCAGAGGTTGGTAGTTCAAATCCACAAAGAGGCTCTCAATCAGGCCTGCTAGTCTGATTCTGAGAGGTCCTTGCCTTGAAAACTCTTTGGATAGGTTTTATACTGCACACTTGGGGTGCTATGCCAGATCTAAATGGCAAATAGTTTGTTATTTTGATATTTAAAACCTTCTGGAACTCTGGCACAAGGAAGCAGTTGGTAATGAGATTTTGAAAAGGGGTAGGACATGCTCGAGTCTTGTTTCTCTTCCTCTTTATTTATCTTCACACTTTACCTTAGCTTTCAGTCTGTGGACCTCTAGAAAACATTGCATTCCAAGATTCTTGTGAGATGTCAGGTTTTGTTAGGTGCCATTGTGTTGAGTACAACTTGTGGTGGCCCTTTCAACAACAGACCTGAACCCTGCCCCATCCTGTGGCACCCTCATCATCTATGACACACTTGAGGCCATTGCTGCAGTTACTATGTCTGTCCATCTTGTTGGGAGTCTTGCTCTCTTTTGGTGACCTTCTGCTTTTCCAAGCATGATGCCCTTTTGCAAGGAGTAGCCTCTCCTATAGCAACATGCTCAAAGTATGTGAGATGAAGTTTTGCCATCTTTGCCTCCAAGGAGCACTCTGGCTGCACTCTTTCCAGGACATACTTGTTTGTTCATTTGGTTGTCCATAGGATACTCATCACTGTTCTCTAATACCACAATTCAAAGGCATCAATTCTTCTGCCATCCAAGCTCTCAGATGTGTAGCAAGTGATTGAAAAGACCATATCCTGAACCAGGCACACTTCTCAGACTGATATAATTTCTCTTCTGTATTTTACAGAGGTCTCTGACAGCAGACTTGCCCAGTGCAATACATCGTGTGATCTCCTGACAGCTAGTACTAAGGGTGTTGTTTATTGATTCAAGCAAGATGAAATTATCGATAACTTCTGTTTTCCATCTATCATGATGTTGTCTATTTGCCCACTGATGAGGATTTTAGTCTTCTTGATGTTCAGTTGTAATCCATATTGAAGGATGTAGTCCTTGATCTCCTGCAGCAAGTGAGTCATAGTGTCTAGCTTCATGATTTATTTGCTCAGCAAACAGATGGAATAGGTCTGGAGAAAGGATATATCCTTGGTCTACACCCTTCCTGATTTTAAACCATGCAGTCACTATTCCCTTGCTCCATTCAGACAGCCTCCTTAAATAACAAGGGGAGCAGCTAGCTCCACTGTGCTTCCTGAATCCCAGAAGATGTCACTTTACAGTTTATTTCCTTCATTCCAAGGTCTAAGTTTTGCTGGTGTCTACTGAAGATATCCACCAAGCTCTATTCAAGTCTGTATATTTATCACTTCATTATATGGAAGCAATTTTACATTTTTAAATCTTGCTAGTGATTCTGCTATAATCAGATTTTTGTCCTTTTCATAAATAATACTTATACTCTAGCAGCTTTCCCAAAAAGCAAATTAAGGTATTCTGCTTTATTTCAGTTTAAAGCCTTTATGTCGGTCTGCCCAAAGCACTGAGCCAAAGTATAAGCCACTTGGAAAGTTGAAGAGAGCTAGAACAACCCGTCTAGATTCAGGTAAGGGGAATGATCTTGGGTTTGGAGCTGAGAGCTCTGGTCCAGCGAGAGCTGCGCTGGGCAGTGGTAGATGTGAGAGTCATGGTCCTGTGTACATGTTACATGGTTCCAGAAGTGCTCTGTCTGCCTTCAGTGTATAAAATCAAGAGTCAAGGTTAATCTCCTTCAAGGTTGAAAACAAATGACAAAATGAGTTGTATCTGTGTTGTATGGTATTTTAGGTTTTCTGGAAATATGGCCTATGGTTTAAATTGGTCATGAGGAAAGACAGTTATTCTTAAACGTTTTAATTGAGGTGTTTAGACCATTTATGTTTAATGTGATTATTGATATGATTAAGTATAAATTTGTCATTTTGCTATTTGTTCCAACTATTCTTTATTTCTTCTGCCCTTGTTTTCTGTCTTTTGGATTGAATATTGTTGGTGATTTCTATATAATCTCTTGTTGACATATTAGCTATAATAAATATAATTTGTGTTATACATTTTTACCTTAGAGCAAAGTACAAATGACATACTATATCAAGTATGGTATGTTGTTATGTACCATCAAATAGGAACTATATCATAGCTGACTCTTAAGTGGGTTTTCAGTCAGTAAATCACACAGGAGATTGCCCATTTTTCTTCTGCAAAGCAGCTGCTGAATTCAAACCATGTGCCTTTGGACTGGCAGCACAACTTCTTATCACTAAGCTACCAGAGTTCCGTTGATAGAAGAACCTTAACAGTTAACATCCTTTTCTTCACCTAGTCTTTAGACTGTTGTCATATATTTTACTTCTCTCTGTGTTACAAAATTCACAATACACAGTTCTCAGTACATCATTTACATGGCGTAAATGTAACTTTTTAAAATAGTATTTTAAAAATGTGAAATTCATTGTATTTAAATATAAAATTTACTGGTTGTCCATTCACTCACTCACTGCTGCTGAGTCCATTCCTACTCATTTGGTCCTCCATAAGATGTCTGAGACTGTAAATTTTAATAGGGGGAGATTGCTTTCTTCCTTAGAGCAGTTGGTGAATCTAAACCACCAGAGATGTAGCCTTTTGTTTAACAGTGCCCCATCCTATGGACTGGGCCACAAGAGCTTCCTAAACGTCACATTGACTGTTGTTGTTATATGCCTGTGCCATCCAGTTGAATATGCCTCATAGCAGCCCGTGAACAACAGATCTGAACCTCATCCTAACTTGTGCCAACTTCATCATCTCTAACATACTTGAGACCATTGTTGCAGTCATTGTGTCAATCCAGTGTCTTCCTTTTTTCTCTGACCCTCACCTTTCTATGGAATAGCCTTTCCTAACAACATGCCCAAAGTGTGTGAGATGCAGCCCCACCGTCCTTGCCTATGAAGAGCACTCTGGCTGCACCGTCTCCACTGGTTGTTAGTATTAAAGAATTATGCAGCCATTGTTGTTGTGGTGTGCCATTGAGTTGGAATCAACTCATAGAGCTGACCCTTTGGTGGGTTTTTAGATGCAATAAATCACACAAGACATTGCCTATCTTTCTCCTGTGTATGCGACCATTACTGCTATCTAATTTCAGAACATTTTTGTTACTCAGAAAAGAACCTTTATACCCATTTGCAGTCATTTGCAAACATTACTGCCTCCATCCTAAGTAAAAAATCCTGTTACCATCAATTTGATTTTGATGCATGGTGACCCTCGATTAGGTTTCCAGGACTGTGCATTTTTAACAAGAGGAGGAAGATGCCTCATCATTCTCTACGGAGCAGCTAGTGGGTTCAAACTGCCAACCTTTTGGTATCCATACAACATTCTTAGGCAATCACAAATCAGCTGTCTGTATAGATGTGTTTTCTCCACACATTTCTCATAAATAGAATCATACTTTCTGTGTATGTTATGATTGGCTTTTAAATGTCACAAAATGCTCTCAAGATTCATTCTTTTGTTGTATATTTGGTTTCTTTACACTTAAATAATCCTGCTATGGACATTAATGTACAAGGAGGGTTTTTGTGCATGTTTATATTCTGTTGGGTAGAGAAATAGGAATTCAGGGTCATATAGGAAATCAATATTTTTATCTTTTAAGAAGATGCTTAAGAAAGAACTATTTTCTAAACAGATTACACTATTTTACAATTGTTACTAGGTGTGTCAGATCAACTCTTGACTCATAACAACCCTGTGTCCAGTAGGACAAATCACTGCCCGATCCTGTGTCATACTTACATCTCCTGCATTAATACATATATTTTAACCATGATTTTTAGAGCTTTTATTATCCCTGACAGGTCTAGATCTGGGGTTGCTATGAGTTGTAGTTGACTCAACAGCATTTAACAACAGGTACTATCTGAGGAGCTCTGGTAGCACAGTGGTTAAATGTTTGGCTGCTAACCAAAAGGTTGTCAGTTTGAATCCATTGGTGGTTTCACAAGAGAAATATATAGCATTGGGTGTCCATAAGAATTAGTCTTTGAAACGCTTGGGCCGGTTCTACTCTGTTACTCTAAGTTGGAATTCTTTCCATGGCAATGGGTTTTCAAGTAGAGTTTTTGAGATTTTGTAAGCAGTGAATTTAATTTTATAGCTAGCCCACATACGTGGAGTTTACAGTTGTAATTCTGCCCTGTAAGTGTGATTTATGGAGCTTTGGTGGTGTAGTCCCGAGAGAGTTGCACTGCTGAGCCTAACGTGGTGCCTCTTTGGTGGTCTGAATCCACCAATAGCTCCATGGGAGAAAGATGGGCAATCTCCTCTCGAATGATCTACAGGCTCAGAAATCCCACTGCAGGGGCAGCTGCTGGACTCACGCTGAGTCTGATTTCAGGCCTGTGATGATGGGAGCTCTGATGGCGAGGCCCTCCCTGGTAAGCTACTTGCCAACCAGCCTCTGTTATGGTCTCTTCTTGGCCACTCTTCCCATTCTTTAGCTTTCAGAAATGGCCCACTTATTGATTTGTTGGTGTTAGTATACGTGAAGTATCATTAAATCACTTGCCTTAAGATTTGGGTGAATTTTTTCCTTTGAGTCTCCTAGTCTCAAAATCTGCAGAACATATTAGGAAGTCACTCTTATCTTGGACTCTAAACAAGCATTTCAGTAAAGCTTTATGATGTTTTGTCTTTACACAAGTTAATAGTTTAGGTGAGCTCTGATGGCTTAGTGGCAAAAAGCTGCACTGCAATCCGAGAGGTGCGCAGTTCAAATCCACCAGATGCTCTGCTGGAGAAGGAGGGACAAATCTGCTCCTGTACCAGTCCGATCCGATTTGACGGTACACACACACAAGTTTAAAAAAAATTACTGGTATTCTAATTACCATATAGACTACTTTCATAGTTTGTGTTCCTCTTATAAAAGTAACATAAATTCACTGCAGCTAATTTAAGGAGCCCTGGTGGCTTAGTCCACAGTGTGTTGTGCTCCTACACAAACAGCTGCTAGAGGTTCAGTCCACCAAGGAGGAGGATGGGTGCTCGTCTCCTTTTAAGACTTAAGTCAGAAACCCAGCGGAGGGCCTCTGAGTTGGAACCAAGTTAACAGCAGTGGGTTTGTGTTCTAAAAAGAATTTAGAACGTTATGTAGAAATCCTCAATTCTAAATTATTTTAATTAGCATCTTCTGGTTTTTTGGTTTGTTTCTCTTTAAGTAGAGAAATGGCTACAGAACATATATAATATTTGGGTGACGTTAGACATTTTTGAAAACCAATATTGTATGGGTACCAGCAGTACGAATAATAGCGCACTCTGGTGGCGTAGCCCACAGGAAGTTGCACTGCTGACCCAAAGAGGCATCTCTCTGGAAGTCAGCAGCAACTCTGCAGGAGAGAGGTGGGCAGTCTCCTCCAGTGGGGTTCACAGCCTCAGAACACCGGTTCCTATGGATGGTGAGCCATAGGTCAGTTCTGGTTTGATGACAATGAGTTTGAGTCTTTTAAAAAGGAGAAGGCTGTGCATCTGTGCACGTGCATTCAGCCTCATGAACTTCTAAGTTTCTCCCTTCTTAGATTTATGGATATGGGGGAGGAATCAAGCCCACAGAATCAAGCAGATTGTGTCTCATAGCTTCCCTCCATCAGGTCTCTTAAAGTGTGAGTATGTGAGGAGACGGCCTCTCTCCCTCCAAGTAACAGGGATACAAACTGCCTACATTTTGGTTATTTAGCAGTCCCCTATGTTGCTCTGTAAAGCAGGAAAATATATCTTCCCACAAATTTCTGCCTTCATGTTTAATTTATAAAAATTTCATATATTATAAAAATTTTATTCTCTAAGTAGAGCCTCAACTTAAGAATTTAAAGATAATATTCTAAATATATTGTAATGTACAATATTTAATCAGTAAAATGAAATATTCATGTAGTTGTTGACTCTGATTGTTGTGTATGAAGCATTTTGACTTTAGTTCTTCTGCCTTGTGAGTTCTCCAGCATATATCACAACTTCGTGTATAAAGGATCAACACCATTTACTTTATTCGTAGAGCTTAAGGAACCAACCAGCCACTGATGAGTAGGTAGGGCATTTCTGAGAACAAAAGGGCTAATAATTGGCCAAGAAGAACCCATCACAGAGACTCTGGTGAGCAGAGCAACTCCCTTTCGACTACCTGGTCATGGAGGACCTCTCCATCTGTGTTACTGAACTGTTCTGGGCAGCACGGCTGATCAGGTTTTATTTGCAGAGCACACACATCTACAAAATTCTCTTCTGGGGAGCTTACAAGTCTGGCTGATGAACAGCACCAGCTGCAGAATTAAAACCAAAACCACTTGCGTTCCATCTTCAGGGACCGATTGGGTAGGTCTAGAGAGAGACAGATATATTTTTTTAAAAATAACCTCAACAACAGCAAACACCAAACTCTTCAGAAGACACTAAATTTCAGCCAGGTTTGGGAATCTAGTAAAAGGAACTGTGGTCTTATTTAGGGAACATGTATTCTGTAGTCTCAACTTACTACCTTGCAGCACAGAAACACTGAAGAATAGTATTCACAGTGTTCAGAAGACCCTAAGACTAAGGGGCCTCAGCCTTTTCTCCTTTCAAGGAGAGAGGTCTGTCCCTTCCAGGATGTAACTTCCTAACAAATCTATCATTATCATTACTATTCACCCTCAAAAAAAGGGAAGGAGCCTTTTAGTTTCTCTTTGAAGAAGTGTAAACTCCCTATTCTTTGCAGTTCCAAGAATTAAATGCTACAAATTAGACTTTTATTAACTGTACAGACTGGCTCCCTTTGTATTCTGTTGCCTATAAATCTGTTGTTTTTCTTGCAGAGGAGGAAGATAATGATCTCTTTGATGACCCTCTCCCAACACCTTTAAGGCACAAGGTTCCAAACCAATCAACTCTTCACTCTAAAGTCTTTGTAATGACCGCAGTATCACACGATCCACCTGGGAAAATGAATCAGAGCACAGTGTACCTCACAGAAGAGAGTGTGCAGACCTCTCTCACGGAAAACTTTGTAGATTGTCAAGAATCCAACAGTGAAAGTGAGGAAGAACCAGACATCCCGACTTCGTTGCAAGGCAGTACGGAGGATTCTGTGACACTTCACCAGCAGAAGACTGATGTGGATGTGCCACAGTGGGAAGTATTTTTTAAACAAAGCCATGAAATCACAGATGATGGCCTGGAAAACCTCCCTTCCTCCACAGAGGCAGGGGGATCTCAATCACCCAAGCTTTTCAGCGACTCTGATGGGGAATCAACCCACATCTCCTCACAGAATTCTTCTCAGTCAACACACATATCAGAACAAGGAAGCCAAGGCTGGGATAGCCAGTCAGATACAATTCTGTTACCATCCCAAGAGAGAAACTGTACTGATATTCCTTCCATAAACAAAGGTAATTATCGACCTAGATTCAAAGAGAATATTCCCATCTCCCAGCAAGAACAAAATGTATTTTGCTCAAAGAGTACTTATTCTGATTTAAAAAATGGAGTTCAAGATGTAAATACAGTTCCTGATGTTGGAGAGCTACCTGCTGTAAGTAGTGGAAAGTACACTCCAGAGGAGAAATGGTCAGTAAATCCTAGCACAAAGCCAGATTCTCAGAGCTCCTCTGATTTTGAAATTCCCTCAACTCCAGATGCTGAGGTACCCAAACAAGAACATTTACAGTATTTATACGAGAAGCTGGCAACAGGTGAGAGTGTAATAGTTGGAAGGGGAAAAAAAGCTCACTCCTAGATATTTAAGAATTAAAATTACATCAGTGAAGGGCAACCACCTTTTTTTTTTTAATACAGACGGTGAATAGTTAAAATTGCATTGCAATAGTTAAATACATTTAAATGAAAATATCCTGAGAAGGCAGAAAAAGGGAAATAGGAACAAAAAATAGAGGGAACAAATAAAGCAAATGGTAGAACAAAATGAAAATGTATCAGTAATTGCATTCAATGAAAATTGTTTAAACATATAGCAATGAAAAGAAAGATGGTCAGTATTAATACCAAAAATCCCTGAGCAATGTGCTTTCATTAGTAACTTAATTCAGATGGAAGTAGGTGAAAAACAAAAGGATGGAATAAGATACACCCTACACATAGGAATTTTTTAACAGCCAGAATGGCTATATTACTGTCAGATAAATTTCCCAGTGATGAAGATCACTTTGCCAAGAAAACAATCTTAATCAAATGGGCATGGACCTAGTAAGAGTTAAAATAAAAACTAGCAAGTGAAAGAATGACATAAATGCATAATCATAGTTGGGAGACATCAGCATCTCTCTGTTGACAAAAATTCAGCAAAGATATAGAGCTAAATAGCATCACTGAATAACTGGCTCTAATTAACATAGAACACTCGCCCACGGAAGAGCCCTCATGGTGCAAATGCAAGTGCTCAGGTGCGAGCTCAAAGGTGAGCGGTTTGGACCCACTCAGCGGCTGTTTTAGGAAGAGCCTGCAGTTTGTTCTGAACACCTCATGGGACAGTTCTCCTGTCACATAGGATCACCGTGGGTGAGAATGGACTTGATGGCACCTAACCTGAGCCACCATCACCCCATCACACAGAATACATACTTTTTAAGTGCATATGGAGCATTCCCCAAGAAGGATTATATTCTGGTCATAAAAATACTTCACTAAAATTAAATGACTAGACTTGGATCTGTTTCAGTAAAGGGGTTGGGGATCAACATTTATTGCAAAAGATTTCACACATTTAAGAAATATTTTGTGAACACAGTGATAAAATTAATATTGGAAAAAATAGCACATAATTGAAATCCTGTTCTTTGAGTTGTTCAGCTTCCTTAAAATCTATTGGTAGGAGGTTATGCTCCCATATTATTTTTTATGAGAACTTAATAAATTTTATTAATAAAAACTCATAAATGCTTTGGTATGCTGATATTTCACAGGTTAAGGAAACAAAAGTAGGTGCTTCACTTAAAATAAATGGAATCACTAAAGTATGATTTGTAGCAGTCAAACAAGCAGTGACATCATGCATAAGTAAGTACTGGAACCACAAGGCTTGGATATTGAGAAAAACTAATGCTGAGAACACCCAGTAAGCTAGCTCTCTCATTTCTCCAAATAGGAATGTTCTATTCATAAATGTTGGAAGCAGGACGAGTTAGGCTTCACTATAACCCTTGTCCATGTATGTCTGGGGTGCTTCTTTCAAATGGAGTAAAACTAGCCAGTGACATTTTAAGCTGCAGTTAAGTAACTAACATATTTAATCTTGACCAGGACTGAGCTGAGGGTGAGGTCAAGGAACCTGGCCCATTGCCTTTCTGATCTTGAAGGAATATACTGAGCCATACAATTTAAAGGAAGTGTCTTTGCCTTCAGTTATTCCATAAACTCATGACCACTGAGTTGGTTGCACCCGACAGCTGGTTTTCAGATGCTGTAATTTCATGAGAAGGGACTGCCCACTTCTCCCATGGAGCCTCTGGTGGATCTGAACCACCAGAAGAGATGCCACCTTTGGGTTAGCAGTGTTAATTCCCTACGGATGATGCCAGAACTTCTCAATAGTATGTTTATTAACGTGTACATCAGGCTGCTATGAAAATAAGGTACCTGGGAGCAAAGGAATACCGGAATAGGTGGAAAGTTTCCCCCCTCATTATCCTAGAGTCATCATTAAACAAAAGCTGATGTTACGCTTATTACATAATGACATTCTACTTTTTTAAAATGTGGTAATACAGACTCAGTATTGTTAGGGAAGGATCAATACTCATCTGGTTTGTTGGTTTTCTAAAAATCTGTTAAGATATTTAAATTTTCCTCATTTTTATTAATTGGTGCACATTTGCTTACCCCTCCCCCTCCCCAGCTCACCTTGCAATGCATCCCTTGTTCCAGATTGTTGTCATACATGTAATGCCTTATATTCCTTTTGGACTGTTCTTACCCTCATCTGACATAATGCGGTGTACATTATTCATTCTTTTTCTTACCCTCATCTGACATAATGCGGTGTACATTATCCATTCTTTTCCCATTCTCTTTCCAACTCTGCTGCCCCCCATTTGTCCTATAACAGCAGTTTTATGCAGTATTTGACATTTTTAAACGGAGATATTTCAACTCGGCATAATGTTCTCCAGGCTCCCCTATGCTGTGTAATGTTTTGTGAGTTTCCTGTTTTTCAGTGCTGCATAATATTCCATTGTGTGAATGTACCATAGATTTCTGTTGATGGACACTTGGGTTGCTTCTAGCTCTGCTATTGTGAATAATGCAGCAATAAACATGGGTGTGCATACATCTGTTTGAGTCACATGGTTCTGGTTTCTTTAAGGTGTATTCCCAGTAGCGAAATTGCTGGGACAAATGCTATTTCTATTTCCAACTTTTTGAGAAAGCGCCAGACTGCTTCCATAGTTTGTATACCGTTCTACACTTCCATTAGCAGGGAATGAATTCCAATCTCTCCGAAACCTTGCCAGTGTTTGCTGCTCTGTTGAACTTTGCTGTGGTTGCTAGAATGAGGTGATACCTCATAGTTGTCTTGATTTGCATCTCTCTGATAGCTAGGTGTTTCATGTGTTTGTCATCTGAATGTCCATTTTGGTGAAGTGTCTATTCATATTCTGCACCCATTTTGTGATTGGGTTGTTTTTCTTGTTGAGGTGCTAGAGTATTCTATAAATTTCAGATATGTCTTCTGTCAGATATGCCAATGCCAAATATTTTTTTGTCTGTGGGTTATAGCAGTTTGCGGCCAATTCAAAGGCAGGTGGTTCAAATCCACTAGCTGCTCTACAAGAGAAAAGATGGGCAGTTTCCTCCCACGCCATATATAGCTTCTGCAGAAAAAGTGCAGGGTCAGGTGTGAGTCCATTCCAACTCACCAGTGCCTAAGAATATTAGATTTTTTGCTTCAAAAACGGCACAGTACAAAAGTAAATAAATCTAGTAGACAGTAATATTTGCTTTTGAGAGCATTTCGGGACGCAGATGTTTGTGTATACTAATCATAAGGAAACTGGTTAAGTAGTTTAAGACGCATGGTTTGAATTTACCAGCTGCTCCACAGGAGAAAGATGGGCAATCTCCTCCAAAGGGATAAACAGCCTTTTGAAAACCCACTGGAGGGTCAGCTGATGGTTGGTTCTGACTCGACAGTACACAACTGGATGAATGCGGTACTGCAGTCTTATTTGTGATATGGGGATGACAGCACCCATCTATAAAAGGAACTGACATTTATTTAAATACCTGGTAATTAATGATGCTTAAGGAGCGTAAGAAATATGTCACCACATTAAACTTTAAAAAAAGAGGGTAAAATTCTATACTTTAATATTCAAATGCATGAAATATGACAATAAGCTTTCTTAAAAAAAGAAATTAACATTTAAAGGATGTGAATACAAGCCTTTGGTTAATCTCATCAGCAGGTAGTGAGGAATACATTAGTATTTTTTGCCTTCCTTTGTAGTTTTACCAGAAAATGACAGTAAAATATTCAAAACAAAACTAACACATGGTAAATAAAACACCAAGTTATAATTCTTTTGCTAAGAGGAAACTGTTCAGCTATAAGAAAAAGAATGGCAGTCTGTATTTTGCATATTTCAGGAAAACCCCTGAGGTTACCTTGTTTATTACAGTCCCCTCATAGAAATGCTGATGGCATTGACACAATTTATAGAGAATCATACAACTTGTATCGATACAATTTGTACAGAAAATTTGCATTTTAAACTTGATCTAGATTTCATTTTTGATTATTTGCTTTGTGTTTAAGATAACAAATTCTGAGAATTTGAGGAAACTAAAAAAGCTAAACATTGAAAAAAACAAAAACAAAAACTAAACATTGGCTTAAAATAGTTAAAGCTCCTAACAGCTTTGTTTAAATAGTTTTCTATTGTCTTACTGCTTAAGTTCAGCCTTTATAAGGGTGACAAAGGTAATTAGGCTCTCAAAAGCCCATTATTTTTCTATTAACAAGGACAAGACAAACTACAGATTTACAGAAAATAGTCTGTTCTCCTTTGCCCTCCAGTTTTTCTGTTATTGACACAAAAAGTAGGTAACTAGAGTAAAACACTGGCTTTTAAAAAAGACTGTTGTGATCCCTCCCCTCTTTAAACCTGGGAAACTCATCATTTGAAGGAAGCTTGGCAACTGAGAACAACCTTTATCATCTCTGGCACTCTCTTGGCACAGAAATTTTATTACTAGTTTTTCATAAAGAAAACATAAGAAACGGCTTTTTAAAATCTCCTTAGCCTTAAGCTTATTCTGCAAGTTTTGGTTAGCAGATACACTGAGGCTCTAAAGATGTTAATTTATTCTGAGATCAAAGTCATGTGATGGCAATATAATGAACAAGCTATAGCTTCTTCCACAAAAGGGTGGATGGTGACTGAAAGTGAAATATTCTTCAAGTCAGTTCGATTTTACTCTAGATTATCCGAAGCCATTAAAGCTTAGGGGAATGAATGTAGGTAAAAACTTAATTAGGAATATTGAAAGCTAAATTGATTTTCTCCACTAGTGTACATTAGTAATCCCAGAAACATAGAGATGAAAACATAATTTTTCCTGATTGAGGCATTACGGTACAGGAAAAAAGCCAAAACCCAAACCTGAAAATGTCTATTTCAGTCTTTGTAGTTCAAGTAATAAATGGTTTCATAGTTCAGGCACACAAAAAGCTACTTTTGGCCATCCCAAGTATAGCTTTGTTACTACATTAAAAAAATTCATGTACAAAATAATTATTAGTTCAAAAGATAAGATTTCTTTTAAAAGAAGCTAATTTAGAAGTAGGAAATTTTAAAAGTATAGAAGACGTAATAATATTAATGTGCTGTGTGAAATATTATTATGAGGCACAGCTGGTTCCCAGGGTTCTCTTGTAATGTTTAGACCAAAGGTACTCCACATGGGCATATATCTTAATTCATGTTTTAAGAGGTGTCCTCAAAATGCTCCATTTCCCCTGACTATCATACTGTAAGATCCATCTGGTCCCACTGCCTTATCCTTTCAGAAAAAACATGACAACTTAATGCTAGACTTTTAGAAAGTATTTGGAGGGTATTTTTAGAGTGTATTTGGAGATTTTTTAAAAAAATTTACAGGTTAAAAAAAAAAGAACTTGATCAGTCACATACCCCTCTATAAAGGAATAGATTGCTTTAAAATAGTAAACAAGCTATAATATCTTTTCATTTAATTTTAATAGCATTCATATGTCAATATTTTCATAAAAGTAGATAATAAAATACAAATTTGGTAATACTTAGTTGTCTAAAATACCAAGTACAGCAAGTATTCAATAGGCAAGTAGGAATGACAGTATAACAAAAGTAGGATTTATGTATTTGTCCCAATCTAGTTGGCCACTTTTCCAACATGCATGGAAACTGAATGCTGGGTCTCCAACTGTTATATCATCGGTTTAATACTTTTTAAAAACTTACAGAGGTATTTCACTTTATAGACTTCTTAAGTATGTATATGATATCTGTACATACATTGTTTTCCTTCAGTTCTTACAATCCAACCACTGAATTTGTGCATTTCAAATTACATGAGCCTGTGCTGTTCTCTTCAGAGACCTCAGCAGTGCATTTGGTGAAGATTTTAAAATATGAATTATGAGTTATAAATTAACATAGGCATAATCTTGACAGTATGAAAAAATATTCCCAAGTATTTTTTAAAAAAAAAAAACCAACAAAAAACATTTAATGTTAGGAAAACCAAAGCCGAAATTCTAATCAGTTCTATCTCCTGACAGTTCAGTTGAGGTAACCTCGGCATGTCACAGCTCCACACTTGCACACAGTTCTGATCCTCTTTTTGGCTGGGCTTTGGTCAAAAGAATCTGAAGATAAATCTCCCAAACCTGAATACATAGAAAAAAATAAGAGTCAAGATGAGGTAGAACAAATTTCCAATTTCCTATTAGTTGTAAAGTAGGTAGCCAAGGTGTTTGTGTATTCAAGATCACTAGAGTAAACTCCTAAAACAAACGTACTTTTACACACACACACACACACACACACACACACACACGAATGGCGGTCTGAGCCCACTCAGTAGACTTGCTAATATGCGTTGGTAAGATTAAGAGCTAGATTAAAACTCTACAGGGCTGTTCTACTCCATCATATCAGGCTGAGTACAAAATTTAATCCACTGCACCTAATTAACAGCAATATACGAAATAAATATTCAGAGACAAAAGAACTCTCCTGAAGGAATACCAGTGTGGATGAGTGAAAGGTAAGCACATACTTTTAACCCTCGTGAAAATATTTTTTGAATAATGAAAACTGTGACAAAGTAACATATATACTCATTTAATATATTATTTAAGAATAATGTGTGTTCAAGAAGTAATGTGTCAAAGGAATCATTCTTAGAAAAGCCAAGGAAGAAAACATTTATATAACCACAACAAAGGTGAGAAAGTGGAATGCTCTATTTTAAAACCCTGGGTGCTCTGATGGCGTTGCAGGCTGTATGTAGGGAGTTGCATGAACCCAAAGGTAGTGCTGGTGCCTCTCTGGCAGCGGGACTCCACCAGCATCTCTGAGGAAGGATGAGGAGTCTCCTCCAGTTTGATTTAGCCACCAGAGGGTTGGCTATGAGTTGGTTCTAACTCAACATCTTTTTTCATTTAAAAGTCAGATTTAGTAGGAAATTAAGTTCTTGTGATTTAAATCATAATTTTCAATCTTTCAAATACACATCTTAGCAAGTATTCAGAAATGCAGACATATTTTAAAAAAATATAAGCAGTACGGTACTGAGAAATTATGCTACAATAATTAAACTTCCAAAGAGAAGTTAATAAAAAATATCAGGAAGCAACATGAGGAAGAAAGATTATCATTCAGTCCAAGGTCAGGCAGACCTGGATTCTAGTTTTGGCTCTGTCATATTAGCTTTGTGTCCTTATATACAAGAACATACTCTAATCTTAGAGTCAGTTCTTTTCAACTTTAGTCTGGGTGGTACAGTTTTTCCTTTGTCTAAGTAGGTTGTTCTTAATGAAACTAAACTTGAAAATCCATACCTTTCATCTGATAATCAAAAGTTAGCTCTTCTCCAGCATTTATGGTTCTTGTGGAAAACAGTGCAATTCGAGGAAGACGAGTATCAAGGTTATCAATGAAAACATTGAACACTTGAAGATTTGGGTCACACTAGAAAGGAACATTAGGACATATTTCATTTCTCAGGGTAATAGTTTCCCAAGCTCTACTACAAAATGAGTTGCTTATTGTTTAGAGGTCTTTGAGGTTTTCATTGTTTTATAGAAAAATCTCAGGCTTACGTATATGTAGAGAGAATATAATAAGTTTCCATATATCAAATACATTGTCTAACACTAATTAGCATTTATTACCTCATTCATTCTACTCTCAACTTTTTTATTCTGAAGAATTTTATTGTAAATCTCAGAGAGGGTATCATTTTGCCTGTAAATATTTCAGAAAGGCAATCTAAAACTAGAATAACTGTATTTAAAGCATTAAATCAACCACAGAACTGAAACTTCATACTAAGCATATCATTTCACTGTTTAAACTTTGATTGGAATTTTTGGTATTTTTATACCATCACAACTAAGTAATGTGCTTTTGTGGCTTACTGGGTAAAGAATTGTGCTGCCAACCCAAGGACAGATGGTTTGAATCCACTGAAAACACACTAGAGGGTTATCTATAAATTGGTTCTGAATGGACAGCACATAACAAAACATGAAATTGTTCAAAAGAACAATGTAGTCAGTCATACTAAGAGATAAAAAACCCCAAAAACTCCAAACATGAATAAAAAAAAAAATTTGTTTTTGGAGTATCCTAAATTTATCATGAAAGAAAAAAACCTTACAAATTTAAGGAAATCAGGGGAGCTCTGGTGGCTTAGTGGCAAGAAGCTGCACTGCAATCCCAGAGGTAAGTGGTTCGAATCCACTAGATGCTCTGCTAGAGAAGGAGGGGCAATCTCCTTCTGTACCAGTCAGATCCAATTTGATGGTATACACACACACAAAATAATAAAATTAAGTAAATCAGAAAACAACAGATTGAGAAGATTCACTGTATTCTAATCATACATTTGTTTCTTGGTATGAAATTCAACAAAGGTTCAATACAGTATTTCTTTACTATTGTTGGGTTATTCTAGGGTATGCATTTTCCTTTTTATCTATTAAAAAATACACATGCACGATTATATAACAATAGACAAGCTGAATAGTACTAAATAATTGGCACTTAGATACCCTGTAACAATTTTTTGAGTGTTTATATAAAAGCCTTAAATACTTCAATATAAACCCTTATAACTATAAAAATGTTACCTTCTTTACATTTGAAATCATACATCTAAAATGTAGTTCATTTTTGTCACTTGTGTAAGCTTGTGATTCTTAAATTCTTTTGCCTTTTAATGTCTCTACACATTAAATTTCTCCATTGATCTAAGAATAATCTACCATACAAAGCTGGTGGTAAGTTTAAATGAAGTAGTAGCATGTAAGAAGAATCCAAAGGCATTGGTATTCAGTAGGCATTTCACTATTTATTGTTCTAATTTTGCAATAATATTAAAATACTTTGAAAATGCAAAGTACTTTAAAAGGTACCTAGTTTAAGAATATTCTTGAGATTATAGAAAAGTCATTCAAAACCAGTAATGAATTGGGTTTCAGTCTTGTTCATACGTTAAGTATCTCTTACACTGTGATTCACAAAATGAGAAATATTTCCATATCGAGCTGCATCCACTGTGAATTCATCGGATTCATAGTCAAGATCAAAGAGATATGTGATTCCTTTGTTATCATACAACTGGCCTCGTCTTTCAGCTTCTTCACTTGTGATTACCTAAAAGAAAAAACTAAGTATATTACGTAGCTGTTGCTAAATCTGGAAAGCAGTGAACCAACAAATTCTGAAAAACAATTTGCCAAGGCTTGTTGCAGTATTAATGTCAACGAGTATTTAAGAAGAAATTCAAGTGTCATCATCAAAAAAGCATTCCCATAAACTTCTAGAACTAGATAAGGTGAGAAGCAGAACAATGAATGGAGGAGAAATGATGGTGCAAAAATTAAGGACTTTTAAAAATAGGTTTCAAGACAAACAGCAATAAATGAGCTACAACATTTTATGCTTTTTATTATAATTTATTAAAATGTGGGGGGAAAAAAACAACAAACCATCCCTGTACAACTACTGCTCTCTGTAGGACGTGTTAAATCTAGGGGCAACTGTATGAAAAGTCCACTTTTTTGGGCAAGCTAATTTTCAATAAAATTCAATAGTTCAAAACCATCATCCATAGTTCTGCTCTTAAGAATGGAGCTTTACCATATGCTCACCATGAAGAAACCAAAATTGTTTAAAATGATTCGTGTCTACCAAATTTGGCTGCTGCATTAATTAGGCCAAAAAGGAATAATTTGTAGAAGATAGAGCATCCTGAATAACAACTAATTTATCATATTCTGTCATGTTAGCTCTAATCTCAGAATCCTAAATGAATGTCATGATAATTATAAATGATCTGATATATAAAAACCAAACAGATATGGCAATTCCAGATTTACAGCCATCCTTGCATTTTTCTAATTGGCTTAATTCATCATTCCTTTTGAGGCAATATGGGGTAGGGGTAAAGAATAGAAATTTTTGAGCCTTGTTTTGAATCCTAACTCTTCTTGGTTACTGTGTAACCTTGAGCAAATTGCTCAATCTGCATTTGTTTCCTTCTTCATAACAGGGATCTACTACCTCATAGGCAACATCATGATAGATGGAGAAAAGATTGAAATTGTCCATTACTTCGTTTTCCTTGGATCCAAAATCAAAATCCATGGTAATAGCCGTCCAGGAAAATCAAAGACCTGTTGCACTGGGGAAATCTGCTGTCTTAGACCTCTCCAAAGAGCAAGGATGTCAGTCTACACAAACACTACAGTGTCCCTGATCTGAGGCATGGTATTTACAACTGCTTAGTATGTATCTGAAAATGGACAAAGAATAAGGATTGATGAAGATTCAAAGAAGAATTAATGAATTTAAATTGTTTTGGTGAAGAGTATTGAATATCCCACGGACTGTCAAAAGAACAAATCTGTCTTGGAGGAAGTGCAACCAGAGGCAAGGATGGGGAAACTTCATCTCACTTACTTTGGTCGTGATATCAGGAGAGGTCAGTCCTTGGAAAAAGACATCATGCTGGAAAAAGTAGAGGGTCAGCGAAAGGATGACCCTCAAGGAGATGGACTGACACAGTAACTTTAGCAATGGGCTTGGGCATGACAGAGATTGAGGGAAGCACAGGAGAGAGCAAGGTTCAGATCTGTTGTTCACAAGGTCACTATGAGTCGTGGTCAACTTGACAGCACCTAACAACAAAAACAACCTCACAGAGTGGTTGAAAATAATATTCCAAGATAAAAGGCTTGGAATAGTATATAGTACATACTATTTTACATACATATGTATGTGTGTAAACACATCCTAACTGAATAAATTGTTATCTACAAAAAAATAAATTTGCTAGTGTACCCATAAGGCAATTTAGAGAACACTCTTCATGATTCAGAGTATCTGAGCTCAAGGCAGAGGTTAGGCTCGCATATGAATGCAACAAATGCTTTCATGTTACTTATGTTGTCTATTCTACATTATTTTCATGTTAGTACAAAATTGAGTTTATTAACTAGAATTAACTGCATTTAGTCAAATGGATGAAGTAAATGACAACTTAAAAACCAAAGTGAGCATGGGTTTAGATTTTATTTTCTTCCTATAAAAACAGGGATGTCTGGTTTGCAAGGAATTGTGCTGTTGCAAAGGTACACAGTTTGAATCTACCACCAGCTGCTCTGCAGGAGAAAGATGGGTAATCTTCTCCCATGTGATTTACTACCTCTGAAAACTCACAGTAGGGTCAGTTCCAACTCAATAGTAAACAACATAAAATATGCCATTGCCCATTTCAATGATTATGAATTAGTGTCTACTGAAAGAGAACTATATTTGTTTGGTATGTTGTTAGATATTTTTGTTCATACACAAGTTTCTATTTTTTTACTGTGCCAGTGAAATCTCCCACTCCAGAAAACAAATTTTCACTTATCTGCAAATAATATAAAAATGTATCAAACATTTATGTTACGAGGTAAAAAGATAATTTTCAAAACTGTAACTCTTACATGCACACAATTTATTCTGTGATAAACATACCTCTCCAACATATTCCATGACAAAACTCATTCTTTTAATCTTCACAAGTGTTTTTACACCCCAGCCACAGCCATTGCTAGTTCGAAAGACGCAAAGGGAATACTGTGTGCCCTTTTGTACAACCCTATTGGGACAATCAGGTCCACATTGACATCTTGAGTTGCATTCATAGATGGGAGTACCAGGTGGGATTTTAATTTGTTGGTTTTTATTATAAGCCAAAAGAACTCCAGCTTCAGCAGGACAACATTTCTCAACGAGGCAATCTGAACATGAACAACTAAAGGTGACTTCATTTACTAAACTGATTCCAGGAGCTGGTTTATATTCATTAATGTAGTAGAAGTCCAAAGGTGGGCCCTCTAAGTCAACATTATTTTCAACAAATATCATTCCTTTATGATTCTTTCTTCTGTTGAGTTCATCTTGCCATCTCTGCAGCGCTAGCCTTTGTTTGGCCTTCTTTACAATGTATTCAGCAAGGGCAGGCTTCAAAGCTTTATTATTGTTTTTAAGAGTTATTGCTTTGCTTTTCTTTACCTGAGATAAAAAATTTTGCTTGTCATTAGAGAACTGCTGAAGAAGTAATGGACACTTGAGATTTTGTAAAGGTTCCCAAGTATTTGTAGAATCTGGCCATCCTTTCCATTTTACAAGATAATATTCCATGTCCTTAAAATATAAAAGAAAATGTAAATCAGATTACTAAAGTTTTAATTGTTTAAATATCTTAAAATAACAAAATACTTATTTTTCTTAATATAGTTCAGAATATGTAAAGAGTTTTCCAACAAATTACGTATAAATCTTATTTTTCTCTACATAACATATGTGTAAAATTTAGGTGTAGTACAACATGAATGACAACAGACTAGAGAGTCTTGGGATGAGTCTAATCTGGAGAAATATATAAAGATAGTGAAATCTAGGAATATTTTACTAAACATTGTTTAGGTTAAACATGGGGGGGGGTGTTTGCACATGTGTGCATGCCGACTGTGGACTGATGCTACTAATGATTCAGGAACTTAGCCAGTTAGTGGCTTTCTTGGCCAGGTAGAAGTATGCAGGTATTCTCTAGAATGTTATTAATTCTTAATGTCAGAGGCACATATTTCTTGGATGCTGTAATGATGTTTTATCAAGTACAGTCATAATTAGCTATTTGTGGCTAATGAAATATGGGAAATTGAAATGTGCTTTAGTGTAACAACAAAGTACAAAAATACGAAAATATTTCGAATGTTTTTAAAACGTTTAATATGAAAACATCTGGTCATGGAAGATGCTCACATAACACATAAAGAACTAAAATGGTATTATTTTAGAAAACAGAATTAAAGGAAATACAGTGTTCAAAGTAATGCTGCTTATTTCCTTTCACTTTATGGTATTATAGTATTTAATATTACGTGTGCAGCTTAATTATATTTCCGTTGGACTGTTCTAGAGAATGCATACTACTCAGTGTATACTCACTCACGATTGGGTCAGTATACCAAAGATTCATTCTTTTGATTGACCATTCAGGCTGCTTTTGGCCACCATGTTACCTAGAATCTGTCTACTCTAGTGACATATATATCTCCCCCCCCCCCGATACATATATCTTGATGAAGGTACTTAAATGTGGTTAACAGAAAATTCTGAGGTAAAATCCTGCACTTTTATATATTTTATTTTTTTGTCCTCTGGAGCCCTTTTAGAACAGTGAGTTAGAAGTCAGGCTCTTAACCAGAAGGCCGGCAGCTGCTTCCGTTAAGATTTGCAGCTTTGGAAACCTGAGGGAGGGTCACCACGAGGAGAAATCCATCTATAAACATATACCTTATGGTTAAATTAAGAAGAGTAAATGCCTTCTGATACAGCAACATGATTAAACAGCATTCTATACCTTTTAGTTATCATTTTAAGTTATAGGTATTTAGAAGAGCTTGTTAATTGGGATACTTTTTGCTTTTCCCTGAAAATTTAAAGAATATTTTTATTATAAAGTACAGGTCCTTGTGGCAAATTTTTTACTCACTGCTGTCAAGTTGGTTCCCTCCCACAGCAACCCTCCATCGAGCTTCAGAGGCTGTAAATTGCCGATGGGAGAAGACTGCCCATCTTTCTCCTGACTTGAACCACCATATACGGAGCAGTGCAACGTACTATGGAGTGTGCCACCAGAGCTCTTCATCAGCATTTTAGTAATCCTAACAGCCTTCCCCTGGTGGTGGAATGGTTAGGAGTCGTGCTGCCAACCTGAAGGCATGTCGCTGGAATTCACCAGCTGCTCCAAGAGAGCTAGATGAATAATCTCTTCCTGTGCAATTTACAGCTAGAGGGTCAGCTGAGTTGGTTCTGACTTGAGGGCACAAAACAGCAACCAAAGCCTTCCAAATTATCTAGAAGATCTAGAACATAAGATATCTGAAGTGAGCTTATTTTATCTTCCACTGCGTGTATCTTAAGGGGTCCTGGTGGGCCAGTGGTCAAAGCATTTGGCTGCTAACCAAAAAACTCTGTGCATCAAACCCACTCACTATTCTTAGGTGGGGAAAGGAGATAGTCTGCATGGTAATGATTTGGAAACCCGGTGGCAGTTTTACGCTATCCCATACAAAGCGACATTGCTATGAATGAACACCTGGCTGCCATAAGTCAGTTATCCTACAGAGAGCACTGGTAGCCTAGTGGTAAGAAGATGTGCTGTAATCCTAAGGGCATGTGGTTTGAATACACCAGATGCTCCACAGGAGATGGATGGGCAGTCTCCTCCTGTGCAATTTACTGCCTCTGAAAACCTTCCAGAGGGCCAGCTATGGGTTGGTTCTGACTCAAGGGCAAACAACAGGGTCACTATATGGCAGTGGGTTTGCATTCTACACCTGCAGTTTAAAGTTCTACATTCTTCTCAGCAAGCACTAATTGTTGTGAATCAAATGAACTCTGCTTTTTTGTGAAAAGTGGTCAAAATATATTTTTTTTTATTAAAAACAAATTAGTTAAATTATGAGATGAAGATATACACAAAAACTTTACTTTCATGGAAAATACGTGTTGTGATTTCCAGGAAAACCCCCAAAACTCCAAGACTAGACATGCATTTAAGTATTTGCTAAACTGAAGACTCACTGAAGTCTAATGATTTATACCTTCTAAATGTCAAGAATTAGAATTGGAGGTTGGTGTTAATAGACAGTTGCATTATAAATAATAAGAGCCATTTAGTAATATAATTATTTGTTTTCCTAAAAAAACTCTACCTGATGCCAGAATAAAGTAGTGCAACCTGGTCCTTTTGGTGTCTCTCCCACCCCCCCACCCTTCCCTTCTCTATCATAGTCCTGCGTTATGATCAAATTTGCCACCAAGCCGAAATACTGCATATCAGATGATTAAAATATATCCGTCAGTAAAACTCAAATCAACTAGCCTTTAAGGGTGACCATATTAATTCAGTAAGATTTTATTTCAAAAATAATGTAATGTATTCCTTAATACAGGGTGCTCTGGTGGCCTACTGGGTAAAGAGATGGGCTGTCAACCCAAAGGCAGATGGTTTGAATCCACCAGCTGTTCCAAGGGAGAAAGATGCACAATTTCCTCCTGTGAGATTTACAGTCTCTGAAAACCCACTTGAGGGTCGGCTATGAGTTGGTTCTGACAGATGACAATGAGAGTCAGAGAGATATTTTGTACGTTAATCACACTGATACGTTATTTACATGTGGCTAAAGATGGTTAAAAACACTGATGCCATTAGCAAAAATAGAAATAGTAGTAGTAGTTAGTTCTCTGTAGACGCCTGCATTATTTTTTCCACAAGTAGCTTTCATTTTTAACATCCAAAGTTACTTCAATTCTGAAAAATGTAAAACTTCTTTTACATGGAAAAGTTACTTTGACTCAGAATATAATTTAATTTGACACCTAAAGTTCCAAATAAAAGCCAAGAAGTTTGTAAATCTTACGTATTGCATCATCATCTTATTCAGATATGTAATCAACTCTTGATTACCTATAGTAATGGAGTACAGTGGTAAAAATTTATCCTAAATCACTGGCATGTGATTTAGAATGTATCATACAAATCTTTTCTTAAAGACATTTTCCCACACTACGTTTGGCTGAAGTTAAATTCAAATATTTTACCATCTATAAGGGCATGCAAGTTTGGCCACTAGGGGGTGTGACAGATTATATTACTAGACTTTAGGAGTAAAAAAGTCATTGAAAGAAGGCAGAAATAATACGTACAGCAAGACACAACACAATTTAAAATCATTTTTTAAAAGGTCAAGTATCACTATATTTTAAAGGACGAGGAAAAGGAATATAGATCAGACTATCAGAAAAGGACAAAAAGGAAGGAGAACCAACTACAAAGCAAAAAGACTGATAGAATTTGAGTAGGGAACATGGTGGGTGGGATGAAAAATACATGAACTGGACATTATTGCTAAGTACTATAAAATAAAGGCACCCTAGTGGTGCAGTGGTTAAGAGCTTAGCTGCTGTCTGAAAGGCCACTGGTTTGAAGTTGTCTCACAGAAAAGATGAGGCTGCCTGCCTCCACAAATACTACAGCCTGGACAACTGTACAGGAAAGTTCCCTCCTGATGGATAGAGGGTCGTTGCTCTAAGTCCAACTCAAATGGCAATGGGCTTTTTTATTAGAAAACAGTGAAGAGATGGATTTAGTTGAGTTGAGAAGGTCAAAGTGAGAATAAAATTCTAATGGAAAGTCAAGAGAAAATTTTAGACAACCTTGAATCTGGCTAAGGAGTATGAACTTCATTGTATGCCAGTAGTTCTTACAGTTCCTAGAAACCATGATCTTACTGTTGGAAGCATCATTAAACACAAATACATTTAACTATTTTTACCAATCTTCCTAATAGGCAAACTCTTCAGTCCTCACTCTACTTGACTTCCTGGAGCCATCAGTCACCATCACTCCTCCTCAAACTTCTGCACCAGAATTTTTCCTTCTTCCTTTCCTACCTCTTTGCTGAGATTGTATCCCTGACCCATCTCTCAAGCAGCCTTTTGACACTAGTGTTTATCTATTTTGAGAATCTGATAAGAGCTATGGCCTTTCTAAAAAGAGTCACAATAAAAAATTTTAGCAATTTCAAGATATCTGAATTACAGGTTAGGAATCCCTGCTCTAAATGTGATCTCAAGGCAACTTCATTTCTGATGACTAAAACTTTTATGTGTAGTCATACACTATGAACTTGGAGAAACGAAGAAAAAAAAGAACTTGGAGAAACGATGAAAGTCATTCAGATCTTTCATTCATGGGTTCGCTATGAGTTGTCTACGACTCAACAGCACTTAACAATGCAACATATCCAATAGCTTACTGGATGTCCATGTAGGTGCCCAGCAAATTCTCAAAGCAATCTACCACATACAGCTTACCACTTTCTTTCCGAAATGGGTTCTTTCTATATTGGCATCATGGTAATGATGACATCCAAAGTGAGAACTACATAAAGTCAATTTTGACTCTCTCCTCTTAACCATCATTATGTTTCTGTAGTTATTTCCTTTCATTCCTATGGCTTTAACTGCTTGCATCCTCAATTCTTATCTAAATTATTACTTTCCCAACTGGCAATACTGCACCCAGACTGTTATGTGCCGTTGCGTTGCCTATGACTCATAGCAACCCTGTG